CACATGGTGCCTGGGTTGCCATGGGAGCTCAAGAGCGCCTGCCTCCAAACATGGGTTGGAGGCGGAGGCCCCAAACGAAGCCCAGAGAACGGGAAGCCTCTCCCGACAAGCAGCCAGCTCTTGCAACAGACCAGTGAGCAGAAGCAGGAGGAGGAAGAGAAAGAGAAAGAGGCACAGGGACCTGCCTTATACCAAGCCAAACCATTGCTCAGTATTGCCAACCCTGGCTGGCAGCAGCACTCCAGGGTTTCATGCAGGAGGCTCTCCCAACGCCACCTGGGGATGCCAGGGTTGGCAATTTGGGACTGCCACTGAGTCATTGTTATAATTAATTGAATTTATATACTGCCCTGTACTCAGAGGTCTCAAGGCAGTTCACAGAATAATAATAATAATAATAATAATAATAATAATAATAATAATAATAATAATAATAATTTATTATTTGTACTCCGCCCATCTGGCTGGGTTTCCCCAGCCACTCTGGGCGGCTTCCAACAAAGATGAAAAATACACAAAAATGTCACATATTAAAAACTTCCCTGAACAGGGCTGCCTTTAGAACAAAATCTAAATCTAAAACCACAATATATATATAATCAAAATAAAAACAACAACCCAATAACATCTCCCCCTCACCCCCCAAAAAGAACCACATTTTAAAAGGGCATAGGATGTCAATCAAATCAACCAAAAGCCTGGCTAAAATGAAACGTTTTTGCCTGGCGCCTAAAGGCGTCCTTTTTTTCCAAACTATAGTCCGGCCCCCAACAGTGTCTGAGGGACAGTGAACAAGCACCCTGTTTAAAAAGCTTGAGGACCCCTGGTGTAGTAAATGCAGATATCAAGAACATCCCCAGCAAAGGAGATTCTCTCCCAGAAAACAGACATATACACACCCCGGTTAATCTACTCCTGTGATAGGGTTTCGTCATATTTCATTTGGTTGAAGTAGGAGGCTAAAATGTTTGTGCATTTTGGCAACATCGTGTGAAATGTATGTGAATATTAACCAGCACTGAAGAGAGCTACAGAAAGATGCTAAAACAGCTTCCCTCATGAGCCGTGAATCTGGGAACTTTGTGGATTTAATATAAGACATATTCACTCCTTTGTAAGTCAGTGCGTGTTGTGAAGACTTTTGCTCTACAAATATAAAACTCCATGCACAAGAGAACCAGAGTGGTGTGGTATTTAGTGGCAGAAGAGAGCCAGGCAACACTTGGGCTCAAATCTCTGCTCAGTCATGGCGCTCACTGGCTGACCTTGTGACAGTCACTATTTCTCAGCACAGCCCACCTCACAGGGATGCTGTGAGTATAAACAGGGCAAGTGTTATTTAACATGGAAAAAAATGAATTAACGTATAGGCACCAAGGTGTTCCATATTAGAGATGTTTCCAGATAAACTTTCCTATGTGGTTAGGCTGAGGTATATTGATCAGCCGAAGCACATCTGGAGAGAAAGGTCGGGATTCGAACCTGGGTCTCCCCATTCTGGTACAAACATCACACTAGCAAACAAATGCTACTAGTCCATAGGAAATTTTGCTAGTTTGTCTGCTCACAAATATTTAAGTTTGTCTTTCGTGGCACACCAACAGTTTGCTTTTGTTTTCTTTTTAAGAAGTACAAGAAAACACATCTCCCTTCCAATTTGCAAAGACTTCCTTGCTTGGTTGCCTTAATTGGCACAGGAAAACAGGTGAGTGGCTATTTACAAGTCCGATTATTCTAGTGTACGTGTTTGGGGAGGGGGGGACACAAGCAGTTTTCTTTGGTTTTAAAACATTTATATTCCGACTTTCAAAAGCAGTACTGAAATTATCATACACACACGCACACAGGCTTGTTCTCATGTGCATATTTCCTTCTTTAATGACAATCATACCGAGTCCCCTGCTGTGTATTTTCAGCTCCTGATAATTTGTAATTAATCCTAATCAACCTACGTGGTTCTTCAAGCAGAGGTGTTTCCGCCCCAACAGTCTGCTGACTCACACTGTACAAAATTCACATACGAATTCTTAAACTGCCAGGTTAGCATGCAGCTCGCCTTCATTCCTAAGTGACTGAAGTTCTGGTAACAGGCCGGTCAGTGCAGTAGAGTCCAAGCTGTGAAAAAGAAGTCTGTGAAAAGGGGCAAGGAGGGGGAGACTGAAGGGAGTCCTTAATGGCTTAACAGAAGGGCACCTTGAATGGATGGCTTCTCACCTTGTTTTCCTGGCAGTGTAAATGGATGCATGTGCTTGTCAATCCTGCTTACTGCCTAACAGTAAATCTGTCAAGTAACTTCACATTTGCACCAGGTCCTAACCTCTAAATAAGTTATCAAAGACTGGATTAAGGCAGAAGCTGTGTAGAGAGAGGGAAATTCTGGTTGTATGCAGAAGGATCTGTTGTGGATTCTCCTAAAGCAGGCATAGGCAAACTCGGACCGCCAGATGTTTTGGGACTACAACTCCCATCATCCCTAACTACCACTGGTCCTGTTAGTTAGGGATGATGGGAGCTGTAGTCCCAAAACATCTGGAGGGCCGAGTTTGCCTATGCCTGCCCTAAAGAGAACCTGCACCTATACCAGGCTTTACTAATCTGACGCCAGTAGGAGTTGCAGTCCAACACCTCTGGGGGGCAGCAGGTTGGCAAAGATGTCTAGACTCACTCCATCACCCCTCCAATACCAGGAAATGAGGTGGGTGCTTCGTTGTGGAGGACTACTCAGCACCAGTACAGATCAGAGGTCTTCAGGGCTATGTAGGTGGGTTTAAGGGTGGGGAATAGGAGGGAGCCTACCAGCTAGAAAAATGTCTTACCAACTTGTTGGAGGTCTATCCTCCAAATCTTGGAGCTTTGGTCCTCTTCTGGGAAAGGATAGCTTCACTTAACTATCCACGTTTACTAATACACCCTCCTGCTAATCCTTCTCAAGCAGAAATAAAACCATCACTGCAAGGCATCTGGAAATGCAGATAAACATCACACTCCAGAAGCAGCAGTGCTTTCCTTGCTTGAAGCCTTATGAGTCTTAAAGATTAAGAGATGTTGTTGTCCCCGCCCCCCTCTGAGCTACAACCAGAATTTTCCCTCCACCAACCAGCTGTGAACAAATTAGAAGTGGCCCTAACTAGTGGAAGCTCCCTCTCTAAGCATATGGATCCAATTAAGTCACAGCACAGCTGATTTTTAAATAAATCTTCCTTGAAGCAGCCACAGAACTTGAATATATATATATATTCCCCTACAACTCTGAAGAAGGAAAGGCAGGAGAATTGTATTTGCATAAGGAACACTTCACCAGCCACCCCACTGCCTGTAAACACAGGACTCCTTGCAGAAATAAATGCTAATTGAGAACTCTTCAGAAGTCTTTCCTCCCACTTCACCAAGCAGCACTGATTTGATCAATCCTCTATTTCCTGGCTTCAAGTTGCCAGCTCTTTCAAGGACCTGGAAGGGAGGGGGGTGTTGCAGAAGAGGCCTCTGCCTTGAAAGTGATTTAAAACTAAGCCACTTTTTGGAATATCTGCTGCCCACCCAAGAGCCAATTGCAAAGCAGTCACCACAGGCTATCCTCTGTCTGGCAGCAGCCACTGAAGCCGGGAGACAAAGGAACAATTTTAAATAATACTAGGACCTATTTCTGTCCATCATTCTAGCCACACATACCCCGTCTTATTCCCTCAAAGCTATCAAAGATTTAGGGTGCACGGGGGCACCATCACCTGGCAATTCTTGACTCTTCCCGTCTTCCTGTAACCTGAGGTTTTTATTAGCAGTAAAGATCTGAACAGTGAGTAATATCCATGCTACAGACTTTTATAGGAGTGAAGGAAAATCAATGCCGCCTGCAGCTAGGTGTCAAGAGCCAAGGGGGTAGCAGGAGAGAAAGGCTGTGGAGGTGGATGGCGCCTCCAGCCATAATTCAACCTGTCCCCACACAAGGCAAGAGTAGGAACAAATGTCAGGTGTTATACAGCCTGCTGCACACAGTCATCAATATCTCAATTTCATCACTTGCTAATACCAAGTTTTGAGTAACGTAGGAAGAAAATCAAACTGTTTGCAATGCAATGCTGGTTGTTGCAACGCCAGTATCAATATTCAACTCACTTCTGGATTTCCAAGTATCAATCAAGGGTCTTTAACCTAGAGATGTTGTTTGCAGGTGATGCAGCCTTGACAACACACTCCAAGGAAGCTCTACAGGAGGGGTCAGCAACTGTTATGTGGTTTTGCCTGCAGGGAGTCTGGCTTCACCACCACCCTGACAAAGATCAATGTCCTGGATCAGGACGTCACTAGTACTCCAGGGATCAGCATTGGTGACTCCACGCCTGAGGTGGTAAGCGACTTTTTCTACCTGGGTTCCACCATAACCAGCAACCTCTCCATCAATGCTGAGCTGAACAAGTGTATTTGCAAGGCAGCTACAGCAATCGCTTGCTTTTCCAAAAGGGTGTGGGAGAATATGGTGTGAATGTCCAATACCAAGATGGTGGTCTGCCAGGCTTGTGTATCGAGCATGCTGCTTTATGGAAGTGAATCGTGGGCAACTTACAACCAACAGAAGCGATGTCTCAAGAATTTGGGCATCACATGGCAGGAGAGAATCTCAAAGAGGTGCTCTCCCAAGCCCACATTCCCAGCATGTGCACACTCCTGTCTCAATGGCGTCTCCACTGGCTTGGTCATGTCCACCAACTGGAAAATGGCAGTATCCCCAAGGACGTGTTCTACAGGGAGCTGGCTTCAGGTACCAGGCCTGATGGCAGACAAAGATGTCTGCAAACATGGCATGTGCCTGAATCACATGTACAACAGAAACAACCTGCTGCATATACTGTCTTCTTTTACTTTTCAGCAGGCAATTCCATAACTATGCTCCTTTTACTATGTATTGTGCTCATTACACAAATAGACAGAAACACACACACACAAACATCCAACCTAACTTGTCCCAAATTGTGCATCTATATAAATTACATGAACCCAATACATTTGTGTAATCCATGCAATTAATTTTAATAAGAGAATATATGTATTGCAGAACCACAGATATGCCTAGACTTGTAGGACTTTCACACACAACAAATAAAAGTGAGTTGTTGGTTGTTGGTTTTTTTAAAAAAAGCAAAACAGCACAGCAACATTCAAATAACTCATGCTGAACCCTTGTGGGCTTGTAATTTCATGGCAAACACACACTACTTAACAAGCTGTAGGTCAAGTCAAAACATGTGGGAAGAGGCAGCCCACTATATTTTAGTGCCTGAGGGAGATAATCCAAACAGTAAAAATATAGCAAAATAATTGACAATTTGCTGCCTTTTAATATTTCAAAATCTGCTACCTGCAGCCAAGAATGTACATTTCTTTCTTTCTTTCTTTCTTTCTTTCTTTCTTTCTTTCTTTCTTTTTTGGTCACAAGTAGTGGCCAATGGGAATAGGCAACACCCAACAAGCTCCATCCACTTGCCATAGCTGCAGCATCCAACTCCAGGGATTAATGCAACATTTTCCACCGCACATATTCCAAAGCAGTGCAGTTCCACACTCTGCTGCCTGGGATATTTTTAGAATTGCAAGTGCCTTCACTGATTCCCAGCTGTGTGTGGTGCTGATGTCACAGGTGAGACAGGAATTAAATAGATATTTAGTACGTGGAAAGGCTATGAGATATGCTTCTGTGATGAAGCCTGCTGGTGCCTATGGGGAATTCAGGCTTTATTTCATTTGGAAGTGAACTTGGATCTTCAATTAGGTTCCTCTGGAGCAAATGAGACAGCAAGCCCTCAAGGCACAAGCTGATTCTTCTTTCCATTCTGTATCTGCACAGCCCCTCCTGCGCAATTGACTCTAAAGCAATGTTACGAATCATCATCATTATCACCACCATCTCCTCTTACTCTCTGTATCACCTTTGCTGGACAAACCCCTCTCTACAGCATCAGTGTGTTTATGTGGTAGAAGACTGCAACCACGCAGTAAAAAGATACCTAGAAAATTTCTGATTTAATTATTTGTACAAAATAAATAAAAAAATGTCATATTACGGAATGAATTTAAAGCAGTGCTAATTTACTGCTTCACCTAACACAGCCAAATGAATTTACCAGGCTTATTTATAGGTGGCCCCACAAATTCAGGCTTATGGATGTATCCAGGGCATGGCAAACACTTTGCTGCATGATGTGATGGTCCCTGCTAGCCCAAGGAGGTAGTGGTGCAGGTATACCTGAAGAAAACTCACCTGGAACCACACATTTATGCCAACTACTGCCTGGTTGCCAATGCACATTTTCTGGGCAAGGTGACTGAGAGGGTCTTGGTGGTTCTACTGCAGATGGTCTACTCTTGGATGAAGCTAATTATCTTGACCCATTACAGTCAGGGTCCAGACCCACTTGGAGGACAGAATTGGCCTCGGTCACCCTGATCACCTTCTTAGGGGGAAGGAGAATGACAGGGGGGATGGGACCTTATTGATTCTCCTAGAGCTCTCAATGGCTCTGGATACCATTACCCACAATAACCTTCTGATTAGACCCTGTAGGTTGGGGCACTATGTTACAGTGGTTTTAGTCAATTCCAGAGAGTCTGATGGGTGACTGTGCCTTAGCTTCCTTGCAGTTGATCTATGGGGTGCCACAGAGCCTGATTTTGTCCCCAATGCCATTTATATCTCTATGAAGACATTGGAGTATGGTCAATAGAAGATCTGGGGAACAGTTATCACCTGGATGATGAGCATACCAGCTCTTATCATGGGCCCTTCAGCTCCATCAGGATCTGGCATGCTTTGGCAGCCCTGGACTGCCAAGAAGAGGAAGGAGAAGAGGAGGAAGAAGCAGATGGGATGGAAGGTGGGCACCCAGGGATGGAGGAGAAAGTTCTTCCTCTTGAGACTCTCAATGTCAGAGCAGAAGCAGATCTGCTGACTCTCTCTCCTGCAGAACAGAGAGTCTCCTCAGGGTGCGGGGGTTTTCACAAGTGAGGGGTGGGGTGAACTAGAGGAGGTGAGAGCAGAGTTGGAGGCTGAGGTGCAGGGCACAGTCTTGTCACCAAGAACCAAGTGCTACCTTCATACGTGGTTGGTATCAGTTGCACCTGCCCAGAAGGCATGCACATCTGCAGCAGAACCATAGTGGGATTACTAAGAGCAATCCCAAATGTTTAATAGTACCATTTGGGACCTGCCGCTGCTACTGCCCTGGACTGACCTGCTGGGAGCCTCAAGGGCCTTGCCCTGTTTCTCTCCACCTGGCTGGGGCGGGGCCTGACAGGCTCCATAAAGAACTGCTGCTGCTGGGCAGAGAGGGCTCCGTTTTTGTTTTGTGATTGATATTAATGCTGTATTCTTGGTTTTAGATTTTATGATTTATGTGGAAATTGTTTTCCATTTGGTTGTGTACTTTCTGATGCGTTTTACTTATTGCTTATGACTTTTGTTTTGTTGGTAATCATGTAAATCTTGTCATGTTGTAAGCCGCCTTGAGCATTGTTTTAACTATGGAAAGGCGGCATACGAATAAAATGATGGTGGTGATGATGATGATGACCATCCTAGGCAGCCTGCTTCAGTCACAATTGGACCTGCAATCTGCAAACAATAAATTTGATGTTCAAATCAGTGGGTTTTATGAGCTACCTGAGCGCTTTCATAGGATAGTGTCAGCCCTTCTTAAGTTAAAGAACACTTGAAATCTTCTTTGGCAATCCTTTTCGATGCTTTAGTCCTGCTTCCAGTGTGGCTTGATCAGGGAAGAACATCTTCATTTTATTGGAAGAGTGTAAAAGGATGGGATAATTAGCAAAATGGGAGCAGAAAGATTTCAATCATTCCTGCTGGAGAGAGACCTGGGAAGCTAATTGCTTGAAGGATGTTAAGGACTGGTCTAAAGGCACGGACTGCAAATAGAGAAGGCCTTAAAAAAGCTTCCCAAATGCAGAGAATGGCTGAGGACTAGACTATGCTGCCCCAGAGCTGTGAACTGACAGCTATCTGCAGACAAGGAAATCACATGAAATATGAGACAAATGAGCTTGTAACCTGCTGGAGAACCAAAGCTGCTATAAGCACTCCTTGGAGACTAGGGCATCCAAACAACAAACCCAACATTTTCATCAACTTTTTATGACAGCAACCCAATTAAAGGTGAGCTGGATGACAGGATTCACACCAAACATGGCTTGGCGAAGGCGTTCAGTACCTCTCATCTCCCTGTTTTATCAAAGCCATCACTCCCTGCTCTCCCCACTGCCACCGCCCCCCGCACATCCCAATCTTCAAGATTGATAATAAAAGAGAAATCTTATTCCCCTCTAATAGGTGTCAAGATGAAATCAATGGTCTGGTCTGCCTGAAATCTGAGTAATAGAATGTGTGTGTGTGTGTGTGTGTGTGTGTGTGTGTGTGTGGTTGTTTAAGAGAAGAAAAAGAAAAACATCACCACCACAAAACAATGTACACGGCAATGGGGGGTAGTGGAAGGGATGGAAATTAATTGAACAGAACACCAGAACAATTCTGTGGTTGCTGCACCTAAGAGAGGTAAGAAAGGCAGAGACAACAGCCCCACCTTCACTCTGAGAAGAAAAAACCTCAGTCTCATGAGTTGCCCTCAAACAATAAACACCTTAGAATTTGCTATTAACAGGAAAGGGGGCAGTAAGGAAGCAAAACGCACATTATCTTTTACTGCTACAATAATTTCTGCTCTCTCTTCACAAACAGCAAGTATTTTAAAAAACCAAATTTCAACATGAACTGCTGGTTATTGTTTATCTATGGTCTAAGAAGAATTATTCCATCACCACCACCACCACCAGACAGGTCACTGTTTCAGAAGGGAGAAAGTAAGTGGTGCCTTCATAAAATGAGATTAGTTGGGGTGGATGTAAGGATTCCAAAGGAAGAGTGTGCAAACAGGCTCCCCCACCCCATCCCACCGCTTGCAAAGTATTTGTGTCACAATACTACAAGGTCCTCTGCATCAAATTTGTGTCTACTTCTCTGCTAACTTTCAGTTAAGAATCCTTGTCAGTTTTCAAGAAGGAAAGAAGAGATGAAAGATCAATGCATTTTGGATATGTGTTGGTGTCACTTCAAATACAAGCAAAACAATCATCTTTATTTTGCTACCAACCCACATGGGGCAGCATCTGAGTTCTTCCCAAATAAGCCTGAATATAAGTTATAGAAGGAAATCTTGGAAGCTGTCCTCAGTGGTCTGATTTCAAGAACATAGAAGAAGCCAAGAGACGCATCAGGCTTGCACAAAACACAGGTTTGCACATTAGTAACGGGATCAATATCAGCAGTAGAAGTCCATTCGCTCCAGTGGACAGAGAGTTGCACTTGGACCTGAGAGACCAGGGTTCAAGCTCCAGCTCAGCCATGGACTCACTAGGTGGCCGTGGGCGAGTCACTTGTCTTCTTAGACTCAGTTCCCCACCTGCAAAATGGGAACAACAGTGACCTACCTCATGGGCCTACTGAGGACATGAACGAGTTTGGGGTGGGGAACCACTTTACACAAGGAACTGCTCCCTCCTCCTTCTTTGGGGTGATAGCCACAGAACCAGATGATGGACATAATCCTATGCAGTCTTAAAATTACACCATAACACTTTCATGAATGGGATGGAGGGGGAAATAACATGGTCAAGTTTGGACCCGACAGTTACAGAAAGCAAATTTTGCTGCTCAAAATCCATTATCTCTATGAGAGGTCATAGCTGGGTATTTCCATCACTGATGGTGCATCCATATTTAAGACACTTGTTCAACTCTAATTGAGCCTCATAATAAACAAATTTATGTATGTACATTTGTAAGTGCATATGTATGTATATATGTATGTAGTACAGGAAAGCACAAAGGGGATTATCAGCAGCAGGACCCCACTCCTTTTGAATAGGTTTTTCCCCCAGCTGGAAAACAATGCAGGAACATGAAAGAGATTTATAAACCATAACTGAGATGGGGGAGAGTATGCAGAAAGAAATGTAGTCAATCAGAGCAGAAAAAAAATAGCCATGTAACTGCAGATCAGAGACAATGGAAAAAATGGTACTTCTAACAGCTATAGAACTCACTCCTCCAGGTGGCTACAATGGCCAACAATCCATGTCACTTTTTTTTTTTTAAGACTGGGATACATCCATGAGGACAGATCTGTCGGTAGAAGACAAGAAATAATAGCCAGCAAGAGGTGCTCCATGTCTGAGGGCACCTCAGACTCTCAATGTGAAGCTGTGGATGTATGGAAAAATAGGGCTTTGCTTATGCCTGCATTCAAGGAATTAATTGTAACATTAAACTCTACATCTGATTATTAGTCTGCACTCAGAATCTTATTTCTAAGCATTCCAGGCCTCTGAACAAAACATTATCCAGTTATCCAATAACAGAAAATACTCCAGGGTCTTCATTGGAGTGTACAAAATATTATGAGGAATACTCTAGTATGAAATCGTTATGAAAAGATGAGAGTGCAGGATGGGTTCAGCTTCTGAAACGTTGTTCCCGGCTGAGGAAGGGCAGAAATACCAGATCCCCCCCCCCCCAGTCATCAGTCCAAGGGCTGTAAGCCAGACCCCTGACAAGCTTCCTAATGCTATTACCTGAAGAGTAATCTGTTCCATCTTCATCTCCAGGTTTCTGTTCTCCTCTTTCAACTGGCTTCGTTTCAGTCTCCAGTTCTTCAAATCTTTAATCTAAGGGGGGAAAGAGACAACTGGAACCTTTGCTTTTGATACTGTGCCACAAATAAGTCTCATAATAACTGAGAGAAATGCTGACAGTGAACATCACATGTGGCCAGGAAAAAATTTCAGCCTCAGGCCAACCAAGGGTCTTCTACTGCCTCTGTCTCATATTTATTGAACAGGCAAGAGGAGAATGGTGGTTCCCCTCCTGCAGAAATCCTACCCAAGAGGATGCTCGTTTCCCATGTGCAGAATTGGAAATCTGTGACCCTCCAGATTTTACTGGACTCCCAGCCTGCATCATTCCTGACCAATGGACATGCTGGCTAGAGCAAATAAGAGTGAGTCCAACAGCATTTGGAGTCTCACATCTTCCCACTCCTGCTCAAGAGTCACAATGAATTGAGCAAGTCATTGGTTCCTTACCTAGGATAGTTAACAACATTTAAAATCTTTGGATTTTGATTTCTGTCAATAAATGCTTCTTATATGCTGGATATGGCCGTTTGTCTGCAGGACCCACAGTCTAAACAACCCTGTCAGTCCAGTGACCTCCAGTACTGAGAGCCCTTCCATAATGAAGCTCTGCTGTTTTTATTGTAATTATTTGTATGTTTTGAACATATTATATATGCAAATAGTTTAAGTCTATTAATGTTTAATTATTCTTTAATGATCGTTTTCCCTATGTTTTAGCAATTTTTGTTTTCATCCGTAAGCTGCTTTGAGTACCGTCAGGGGAAAAGGTAGGGTATAAATAAACAAATAGTGGTGGTGGTGGTGATGATTGTAATAATAACTTTATACAGGATAATGAAGAAATAACCAAAAGCCTTTCATTTTGTGATTTTAAGAGTTTGTTTGATTGTTCTGTCTAGAAAAGTTTTTTTTTTAAAAAAAAAATTGTCTTTGAAAATGGTATTCATAATGTTTATTTAAATCAGCAAAGCCTGTTTGTCAGCAAGTAGGATTAAGTAAGCTTCCTGGGAGACAAGTAAGATTTTCTGCTGACACCTTATGAGAAGCCAGTCATCGGATTGCTACATTGTAGATTATTTAATTTTCAGCACTTAACAGCAGAAAATAATGTGTTTCTTTCACCCCCATTCACTACAAAATTGATCACAATCAGGAGTCAGTTTCTCAAGGACCTGCTTGCCTTATAATGCTGTATCTTGGAAGAAACCCCCACCCACCCGCCCACCCAACCCATCCTCAGCGCTGGAGATTTTTGTGTTTTTAGGGCTTCGTTTCTAAACCTACGTAGAGCTCATAAGAACATAAAGAAAACCCAGCTGGATCAGGCCAAGGGCCCATATAATCCAGGATCCTTTTTACACAGTGGCCAGCCAGATACCAATAAGCCTGCAAGCAGGGCATGAGGGCAACTGGTATTCAGGGCCACATGCCTCTGATCCTGGGGGTAGGTGCACACGGAGCCTTATCCTCTATGAATCTGCCTAATCCCCTTTTAAAGCCGTTCAAGTGGGTGGCCATCACGGCATCTTGTGGAATCAAACCCCACAGTTTGACTATGTGTTCTGTGAAGAAGCACTTCCTTTGGTCTTCCAACATTCAGCACCAGCAGATGCCCCTGTTTCTAGAATTACAAGAGAAGGCAAAAAAAGGACTTGGAATACTGTGCACAGTATTCCAAGTGTCAAACCACATATTTGAATAAAGTTATTGTGGTATTGGCAGTTTTATTTTTGACTCTAAGCTTCAATGGACACCATGTCTCCTCTCCACTGACTGGTAGTCATGCCCCAGTTGAAGATGTAGGCAGGCAAGCTGTGGTTATTATTCAGAGAGAACAGGCACTCTGCACATGTTCAAGTGTGCTTTCTTCTTCACTAGCATTTTGTCTGCTTCAGGGCTGAGCTGAAGGCGTATTGCTTGGCCAGTTAATGCAGATCTGTGGTTCAAATTGCGCCATGAATCAGACAACACCGCGAAAGAACACAAACTGCTTCACCCACCCACCCCTTTCTAAGGAGAGACTGTGGAAAATAGGAAAAAAGAATTTCAGCTATGAATAGAGCTTCAAATCCCTTGAAGGGTTTTCCTGCAACAGATGTAATTGAAATTAAAATTATCCCAAAAAGCAGGCTCTGAAGGCATAAAAATGCAGCATTTGAAGGCACCTCCATGGCCCTCAGAGAGCATTTTAGCTCGAAGGCAAGAACTCAACCATACTGCCTCTGCTCTGAGCTGTGAATCTGTTTTTTCCAGGAGGTTGGCCCCCTGAGACACACACACACACACACACACACACACACACACACGAAATGTTCAGGAGTTAAGATAAAAAGCATATACTGTATCCAACAATTACAACAGTTTATTAAGAAGCAAGAAACCCACATCCGACATTCATCTAATTTACCTGGTGCTCCTAAGCTAGTCTTACTGCATGCCCCTTACAGAAAATCAAAACTCCCCTGAATGTCAATGATCATCCTTTATTTCAGACAGCAAAGTACTGAGTGCTTGTCTTTTTTGAAACATTAATCTGGCAAACATGGTCATAAACATGGGAATGAACTATTTCTGATGTGGAGCCCTCTCCATCTCTGGAATTCTTGGAAGCTGTCTCAGTGGTCTGATTTCAAGAACTATAGAAGAAGCCAAGAGACGCATCAGGCTTGCACAAAACACAGGTTTGCACATTAGTAACGGGATCAATATCAGCAGTAGAAGTCCATTCGCTCCAGTGGACAGAGAGTTGCACTTGGACCTGAGAGAACCAGGGTTCAAGCTCCAGCTCAGCCATGGACTCACTAGGTGGCCGTGGGCGAGTCCACTTGTCTTCTTAGACTCAGTTCCCCACCTGCAAAATGGGAACAAGTGACCTACCTCATGGGCCTACTTGAGGACATGAACGAGTTTGGGGTGGGGAACCACTTTACACAAGGAACTGCTCCCTCCTCCTTCTTTGGGGTGATAGCCGACAGAACCAGATGATGGACATAATCCTATGCAGTCTTAAATTACACCATAACACTTTCATGAATGGGATGGAGGGGGGAAATAACATGGTCAATTTTGGACCCGACAGTTACAGAAAAGCAAATTTTGCTGCGTCAAAATCCATTATCTCTATGAGAGGTCATAGGCTGGTATTTCCATCACTGATTGGTGCATCCATATTTTAAGACATGTTGTTCAACTCTAATTGAGCCTCATAATAAAACAAATTATATGTATGTACATTTGTAAGTGCATATGTATGTATATATGTATGTAGTACAGGAAAGCACAAAGGGGATTATCAGCAGCAGGACCCCACTCCTTTTGAATAGGTTTTTCCCCCAGCTGGAAAGAACAATGCAGGAACATGAAAGAGATTTATAAAACCATAAACTGAGATGGGGAGAGTATGCAGAAAAGAAATGTAGTCAATTCAGAGCAGAAAAAAAAATAGCCAATGTAACTGCAGATCAGAGACAATGGAAAAAATGGTACTCTAACAAAGCTATAGAACTCACATCCCTCCAGGTGGCTACAATGGCCAACAATTCCATGTCACTTTTTTTTTTTAAGACTGGATACATCCATGGAGGACAGATCTGTCGTAGAGACAAGAAATAAATAGCCAGAAGAGGTGCTCCATGTCTGAGGGCACCTCAGACTCTCAATGTGAAGCTGTGGGATGTAATGGAAAAATAGGGCTTTGCTTATGCCTGCATTCAAGGAATTAATTGTAACATTAAACTCTACATCTGATTATTAGTCTGCACTCAGAATTCTTATTTCTAAGCAATTCCAGCCTCTGAACAAAACATTATCCAGTTATCCAATAACAGAAAATACTTCCAGGGTCTTTATTGGAGTGTACAAAATATTATGAGGAAATACTCTAGTATGAAATCGTTATGAAAAAGATGAGAGTGCAGGATGGGTTCAGCTTCTGAAAACGTTGTTCCCGGCTGAGGAAGGCAGAAATACCAGATCCCCCCCCCCAGTCATCATCCAAGGCTGTAAGCCAGACCCTGACAAGCTTCCTAATGCTATTACCTGAAGAGTAATCTGTTCCATCTTCATTTCAGGTTTCTGTTCTCCTCTTTCAACTGGCTTCGTTCAGTCTCCAGTTCTTCAATCTTTAATCTAAGGGGGGAAAGGAGACAAACTGGAACCTTTGCTTTTGATTACCGTGTGCAACACAAATAAGTTCTCATAATAACTGAGAGAAATGCTGAGCAGTGAACATCACATGTGGCCAGTTATCACCTGGATGATGAGCATACCAGCTCTTATCATGGGCCCTTCAGCTCCATCAGGATCTGGCATGCTTTGGCAGCCCTGGACTGCCAAGAAGAGGAAGGAGAAGAGGAGGAAGAAGCAGATGGGATGGAAAGGTTGGCACCCAGGGATGGAGGAGAAAGTTCTTCCTCTTGAGACTCTCAATGTCAGAGCAGAAGCAGATCTGCTGACTCTCTCTCCTGCAGAACAGAGAGTCTCCTCAGGGTGCGGGGGTTTTCACAAGTGAGGGGTGGGGTGAACTAGAGGAGGTGAGAGCAGAGTTGGAGGCTGAGGTGCAGGGCACAGTCTTGTCACCAAGAACCAAGTGCTACCTTCATACGTGGTTGTATCAGTTGCACCTGCCCAGAAGGCATGCACATCTGCAGCAGAACCATAGTGGGATTACTAAGAGCATCGCCAAATGTTTAATAGTACCAGTTGGGACCTGCCGCTGCTACTGCCCCTGGACTGACCTGCTGGGAGCCTCAAGGGCCTTGCCCTGTTTCTCTCCACCTGGCTGGGGCGGGGCCTGACAGGCTCCATAAAAGAACTGCTGCTGCTGGGCAGAGAGGGCTCCGTTTTGTTTTGTGATTGATATTAATGCTGTATTCTTGGTTTTAGATTTTATGATTTATGTGGAAATTGTTTTCCATTTGGTTGTGTACTTTCTGAATGTGTTTTACTTATTGCTTATGACTTTTGTTTTGTTGGTAATCATGTAAATCTTGTCATGTTGTAAGCCGCCTTGAGCATTGTTTTAACTATGGAAAGGCGGCATACGAATAAAATGATGGTGGTGATGATGATGATGACCATCCTAGGCAGCCTGCTTCAGTCACAATTGGACCTGCAATCTGCAAACAATAAATTTGATGTTCAAATCAGTGGGTTTTATGAGCTACCTGAGCGCTTTCATAGGATAGTGTCAGCCCTTCTTAAGTTAAAGAACACTTGAAATCTTCTTTGGCAATCCTTTTCGATGCTTTAGTCCTGCTTCCAGTGTGGCTTGATCAGGGAAGAACATCTTCATTTTATTGGAAGAGTGTAAAAGGATGGGATAATTAGCAAAATGGGAGCAGAAAGATTTCAATCATTCCTGCTGGAGAGAGACCTGGGAAGCTAATTGCTTGAAGGATGTTAAGGACTGGTCTAAAGGCACGGACTGCAAATAGAGAAGGCCTTAAAAAAGCTTCCCAAATGCAGAGAATGGCTGAGGACTAGACTATGCTGCCCCAGAGCTGTGAACTGACAGCTATCTGCAGACAAGGAAATCACATGAAATATGAGACAAATGAGCTTGTAACCTGCTGGAGAACCAAAGCTGCTATAAGCACTCCTTGGAGACTAGGGCATCCAAACAACAAACCCAACATTTTCATCAACTTTTTATGACAGCAACCCAATTAAAGGTGAGCTGGATGACAGGATTCACACCAAACATGGCTTGGCGAAGGCGTTCAGTACCTCTCATCTCCCTGTTTTATCAAAGCCATCACTCCCTGCTCTCCCCACTGCCACCGCCCCCCGCACATCCCAATCTTCAAGATTGATAATAAAAGAGAAATCTTATTCCCCTCTAATAGGTGTCAAGATGAAATCAATGGTCTGGTCTGCCTGAAATCTGAGTAATAGAATGTGTGTGTGTGTGTGCGTGTGTGTGGTTGTTTAAGAGAAGAAAAAGAAAAACATCACCACCACAAAACAATGTACACGGCAATGGGGGGTAGTGGAAGGGATGGAAATTAAATTGAACAGAACACCAGGACAATTCTGTGGTTGCTGCACCTAAGAGAGGTAAGAAAGGCAGAGACAACAGCCCCACCTTCACTCTGAGAAGAAAAAACCTCAGTCTCATGAGTTGCCCTCAAACAATAAACACCTTAGAATTTGCTATTAACAGGAAAGGGGGCAGTAAGGAAGCAAAACGCACATTATCATTTACTGCTACAATAATTTCGGCTCTCTCTTCACAAACAGCAAGTATTTTAAAAAACCAAATTTCAACATGAACTGCTGGTTATTGTTTATCTATGGTCTAAGAAGAATTATTCCATCACCACCACCACCACCACCACCACCAGACAGGTCACTGTTTCAGAAGGGAGAAAGTAAGTGGTGCCTTCATAAAATGAGATTAGTTGGGGTGGATGTAAGGATTCCAAAGGAAGAGTGTGCAAACAGGCTCCCCCACCCCATCCCACCGCTTGCAAAGTATTTGTGTCACAATACTACAAGGTCCTCTGCATCAAATTTGTGTCTACTTCTCTGCTAACTTTCAGTTAAGAATCCTTGTCAGTTTCAAGAAGGAAAGAAGAGATGAAAGATCAATGCATTTAGGATATGTGTTGGTGTCACTTCAAATACAAGCAAAACAATCATCTTTATTTTGCTACCAACCCACATGGGGCAGCATCTGAGTTCTTCCCAAATAAGCCTGAATATAGTTATAGAAGGAAATCTTGGAAGCTGTCCTCAGTGGTCTGATTTCAAGAACATAGAAGAAGCCAAGAGACGCATCAGGCTTGCACAAAACACAGGTTTGCACATTAGTAACGGGATCAATATCAGCAGTAGAAGTCCATTCGCTCCAGTGGACAGAGAGTTGCACTTGGACCTGAGAGACCAGGGTTCAAGCTCCAGCTCAGCCATGGACTCACTAGGTGGCCGTGGGCGAGTCACTTGTCTTCTTAGACTCAGTTCCCCACCTGCAAAATGGGAACAACAGTGACCTACCTCATGGGCCTACTGAGGACATGAACGAGTTTGGGGTGGGGAACCACTTTACACAAGGAACTGCTCCCTCCTCCTTCTTTGGGGTGATAGCCACAGAACCAGATGATGGACATAATCCTATGCAGTCTTAAATTACACCATAACACTTTCATGAATGGGATGGAGGGGGAAATAACATGGTCAAGTTTGGACCCGACAGTTACAGAAAGCAAATTTTGCTGCTCAAAATCCATTATCTCTATGAGAGGTCATAGCTGGGTATTTCCATCACTGATGGTGCATCCATATTTAAGACAGTTGTTCAACTCTAATTGAGCCTCATAATAAACAAATTTATGTATGTACATTTGTAAGTGCATATGTATGTATATATGTATGTAGTACAGGAAAGCACAAAGGGGATTATCAGCAGCAGGACCCCACTCCTTTTGAATAGGTTTTTCCCCCAGCTGGAAAACAATGCAGGAACATGAAAGAGATTTATAAAACCATAACTGAGATGGGGAGAGTATGCAGAAAGAAATGTAGTCAATCAGAGCAGAAAAAAAATAGCCATGTAACTGCAGATCAGAGACAATGGAAAAAGTGGTACTTCTAACAAGCTATAGAACTCACTCCTCCAGGTGGCTACAATGGCCAACAATCCATGTCACTTTTTTTTTTTAAGACTGGATACATCCATGGAGGACAGATCTGTCGGTAGAGACAAGAAATAATAGCCAGAAGAGGTGCTCCATGTCTGAGGGCACCTCAGACTCTCAATGTGAAGCTGTGGATGTATGGAAAAATAGGGCTTTGCTTATGCCTGCATTCAAGGAATTAATTGTAACATTAAACTCTACATCTGATTATTAGTCTGCACTCAGATTCTTATTTCTAAGCATTCCAGGCCTCTGAACAAAACATTATCCAGTTATCCAATAACAGAAAATACTCCAGGGTCTTTATTGGAGTGTACAAAATATTATGAGGAATACTCTAGTATGAAATCGTTATGAAAAGATGAGAGTGCAGGATGGGTTCAGCTTCTGAAACGTTGTTCCCGGCTGAGGAAGGGCAGAAATACCAGATCCCCCCCCCCCAGTCATCAGTCCAAGGGCTGTAAGCCAGACCCTGACAAGCTTCCTAATGCTATTACCTGAAGAGTAATCTGTTCCATCTTCATCTCCAGGTTTCTGTTCTCCTCTTTCAACTGGCTTCGTTCAGTCTCCAGTTCTTCAATCTTTAATCTAAGGGGGGAAAGAGACAAACTGGAACCTTTGCTTTTGATACCTGTGCCACAAATAAGTCTCATAATAACTGAGAGAAATGCTGAGCAGTGAACATCACATGTGGCCAAGGAAAAAATTCAGCCTCAGGCCAACCAAGGTCTTCTACTGCCTCTGTCTCATATTTATTGAACAGGCAAGAAGGAAGAATGGTGGTTCCCCTCCTGCAGAAATCCTACCCAAGAGGATGCTCGTTTCCCATGTGCAGGAATTGGAAATCTGTGACCCTCCAGATTTTACTGGACTCCCAGCCTGCATCATTCCTGACCAATGGACATGCTGGCTAGAGCAAATAAGAGTGAGTCCAACAGCATTTGGAGTCTCACATCTTCCCACTCCTGCTCAAGAGTCACAATGAATTGAGCAAGTCATTGGTTCCTTACCTAGGATAGTTAACAACATTTAAAATCTTTGGATTTTGATTTCTGTCAATAAATGCTTCTTATATGCTGGGATATGGGCCGTTTGTCTGCAGGCCCACAGTCTAAACAACCCTGTCAGTCCAGTGACCTCCAGTACTGAGAGCCTCCATAATGAAGCTCTGCTGTTTTTATTGTAATTATTTGTATGTTTTGAACATATTTTATATATGCAAATAGTTTGTCTATTAATGTTTAATTATTCTTTAATGATCGTTTTCCCTATGTTTTTAGCAATTTTTGTTTTCATCCGTAAGCTGCTTTGAGTACCGTCAGGGGAAAAGGTAGGGTATAAATAAACAAATAGTGGTGGTGATGATTGTAATAATAACCTTTATACAGGATAATGAAGAAATAACCAAAAGCCTTTCATTTTGTGATTTTAAGATTTTAAGAGTTTGTTTTATTGTTCTGTCTAGAAAAGTTTTTTTTTAAAAAAATGTCTTTGAAAATGGTATTCATAATGTTTATTTAAATCAGCAAAGCCTGTTTGTCAGCAAGTAGGATTAAGTAAGCTTCCTGGGAGACAAGTAAGATTTTCTTGCTGACACCTTATGAGAAGCCAGTCATCGGAATTGCTACATTGTAGATTATTTATATTTTCAGCACTTAACAGCAGAAAATAATGTGTTTCTTTCACCCCATTCACTACAAAATTGATCACAATCAGGAGTCAGTTTCTCAAG